ACCCAAAGCTGTGGCAAGCCTTGACGACATGATTATCATTGCCCTGAAGACTGGGGCTTGTCTCTGGCACACCCCAAGAACTGAGCAGCAGCTAAGCACCAACAATGTAGCTCAGAGAAGCAACATTCATTTTAAGTTAGTACTTCCCATTCCCAAAATGGCATAAAGTAATCTAAGGTCAGTGTTTTGGAAACATTAGCTCAAATCATCCAGGACAAGACATTATTATGACAATACTACTTAATTAATTGTCACATATGTGGCATATTAATGTAAGATGTAACAACAGGGGAAATTGGGTAAGTAGTATGTGGAAACCCTTTGTATTATCTTTGCAATATTTTAAAAGCTAAAACTATTTTAAAATGAGAAGCATATTAAAAGTAATTAAGTAAAAAAACTAATGATATGTACATATTTGTAAATTCCCATTACAGAGAATATCATTGTAAAGAAGGATCCAGTAGAATGGAACTGGTACTATATCCTGATGACTCAAAGCAATTATTTTAGTAATTTGGTTATAAACAAATTCTCTAGTAAGAATCATTGTATGTAAGAAACTTCTATGATTCCTAACTACATAGTATATAAAATTTAACAAGTGTGATTATACTATGCAGAAAGGCATTTGACAAAATCTGACATTATTTCATGACAAAAAAGACTCAACGAAATAGGAAAAGAAGGAACTTCCTCAACCTGGGACAGGGCATTGATGAAAACTCCACAGCTAACACACTCAGTGGTGAAAGAATGAGAACTCTCCCCAAGATCAGAAACAAAACAATTCCTGCTTTTGCTACTTCCATTCAATGCTGTACTGGAAATTCTAGCTACAGCAATTAAGTAAGAAAAAGAAAGAAGTAACAAAAAAATTGGAAAGGAAGAAGTAAAACTGTCTTTACGCTCAGATGATAAAGTCTTTTACGCAGAAAATTTTTAAAAAATCCACAAAAATCTGTTACAGTTAAAAAACTTAGCAAAGTTGCAGGATACAAGATACAAACAAACAAAAATAAGTTGTCTTTTTTTTTTTTTTTTTTTTGGAGAGGGAGTCTTGCTCTGCCACCAGGCTAGAGTACAGTGGTGTGATCTCAGCTCACTGCAGCCTCTGCATCCTGGGTTCAAGCTCTTCTCCTGCTCAGCCTCCCAAGTAGCTGGGACTATAGGCACATGCCACCACGCCCAGCTAATTTTTGTATTAGAGATAGGGTTTCACCATGTCAGCCAGGATAGTCTTGATCTCTTGACCTTGTGACCTGCCCACCTCAGTCTCCCAAAGTGCTGGGATTACAGGCGTGAGCCACCAAGCCCAGCCTATAAGTTGTATTTTTATACACTAGCAATGAACAATCCGAAAAGAAAATTAAGAAACAAACTGGTTTATAATAGCATCAAAATAATAAAACAGAAACAAATGTAAACAAGAGACTATAAGACTTGTATAATGAAAACTACAAAGTATTTCTGAAAGAAATTAAAGCAGACCTAAATAGATGGAAAGGCATCTTGTCTTCATGAACCGAAAAACTTATTAACATAAGATACTGCCATATAGTAATTCGATGCAATCCCTATCAAAAACCAATGGCTGGTCAGGCCACCTGCGGTGGCTCACGCCTATAATCCTAGCACTACGGGAGGCCAAGAAAGGGCATCACCTGAGATCAGGAGTTTAAGACCAACCTGGCCAATTTGGCTAAACCCCTTATCTTCTAAAAATACAAGAATTAGCCGGGCATGGTGGTGCGTGCCGGTATCCCAGCTACTTGGAAGACTGAGGCAGGAAGATCACTGGAACCAGAGAGGTGGAGGTTGCAGTGAGCCAAGATGGTGCCATTGCATTCCAGCCTGGGCGACAGAGAGAGACTGGCTTAACAACAACAACAAAAAGGCTATTTTTGCAGAAATGGAAATGTCAATCCTAAAATTAAGGTGGAATTGCAGTGAATTAGCCAAATTAATTTAAAATGTGCCAAATCGGTGTTCAACAATGAGAACACATGGACACGGGGAGGGGAGCATCACAAACTGAGGTCTGTTGGTGGGGGGGACTAGGGGACGGACAGTGGGGCGTAGGGAGTTGGGGAGGGATAACATGGGGAGTAATGCCAGATATAGGTGATGGGGATGGAGGCAGCAAATCACATTGCCATATATGTACCTATGCAACAATCCTGCATGTTCTTCACATATACCCCAGAACCTAAAGTGCAATAAAATATATATATAAATAAAATAAAATGTGTCAAATACCTAAATGCACACGGAGGCTAAAACTGTAAAATTCTTGAACAAAAACACAGGAGTAAATCTTCATGACCTTGGATTTGATAATAGTTCAGATACCAAAAGCACAAGCAACAAAATAAAAAAAATAGATAATTTGAGTGTTATCAAACCGAAAACTTGGCTGGCCACCGTAACTTACCCCTATAATCCCAGCAGTTTGAGAAATTCTCATGGGCCCAAGAGTTTGAGGCTGCAGTGAGCTATGATCACACCACTGCACTCCAGCCTGGGTGACAGAGCAAGACCCTGTGTCTTAAAAATAAAAATAAAAAACCTAAAACTTTTGTGTATCAAAGGACACTATCAAGAAAGTGAAAAGACAACTTATAGGATGGGAGGAAAATGTCTCAAATCATGTATCTGATAGGGGTCTTATATCTAGAATATATAAAAAGAGAACTCTTACACGAATGTGAATCAAAACCACAATGAGATACCATCTCATGTCAGTCAGAATGGCGATTATTAAAAAGTCGAGAAACAACAGATGCTGGTGAGGCTGTGGAGAAATAGGAATGCTTGTAACAGCTGTTGGTGGGAATATAAATTAGGTCAACCATTGCAGACGACAGGGTGGTGATTCCTCAAGGACCTAGAACCAGAAACACCATTTGACTCAGCAATCTCATTACTGGGTATATACCCGAAAGAATATAAATCACATGTTCTCACTTATAAGTAAGTGAGAGCTTAACAATGAGAACATATGGACACAGGGAAGGGAACAACACACACTGGGGCATGTCTGGGGTGGGGAGTGGGGAAAGGGAGAGCCTCAGGATAAATAGCTAATGTTTGTGGGGCTTAATACCTAGGTGATGGGTTGATAGGTGCAGCAAATCACCATGGCAGATGCTTACCTATGTGACAAAGCTGCACATCTTTCGCATGTAACCTGGAACTTAAAATTAAAAAAACAAAACAAAACAAAAACCTCTTAGAACTCAACAGAATTAAAAAAAATACAACACAATTTTAAAAAGACTAAAAGACTTGAAAGGTCATTTCTCCATATTAGATATGTAAATGGACAACATGCACATAAAAGGAAGGTCATCATCAGTCCTTAGAGAGATGTGAAACAAAGCCACAGTGAGATACCACTTCACACCCATTAGGATAGTTATTGTTACAAAAAGAAAACAGCAAGTGCCGGCGAGGACGTGGAGAAATTCTAACACTTATGCACCGCTGGTGAAAATTTAAAATGATGTAGCCGCTGTGGAAAACAATATGGTGGTTTCCCAAAAAGTTAAACATAGAATTACCATACGACCCAGCAACTTACTCCTAGGCATATATATAACCAAGAGAAATGAAAACAGATGTCCACAGGAAAACTTCTGTGATGATGTTCATAGTAACATTATTCATAATAGCAGAAAAGTGAAAACAACACAAATGTCCATAAACTGAGGAATGGATAAAATGTGATATATCTATTCAATAGAATATGATTTAGCCATAAAAAGAAATGAAGTACTGGTACATGCTACAGTAAGATTGAGCCTTGAAAACTAAGTTAAAGATGCCAGACACAAAAGGTCAGATGTTGTATGATTCCATTTATATGAAATATTCAGAATAAAAAAATATATAGAAACAGAAAGCAGACTGGTGGCTGCCATGGACTGGGGAAGGGGTTCATGGGGAGGGACTGCTTAATATGTATGGGGTTTCCTTTGGTGTGATTAAACTGTCTCAGAATATATAGAGCTGGTAGTTGTACAACATTGTGAATGTGCTACCACTGAATTACATACTTTAAAATGGCCAATACTGAATTGTGTTAATTTTATCTTAGTAAACAAATAAAAACAAGCTGATGCATACATACACATAAAATTCATATGGTTCTACCAGGCATTCAGGGAGCCTGCCCCATAGCATCCATTTCCTCTGTGGAGCAGTGACTGGAAACATTCTCTTATGGAGGCTTTCAGGTAGTCTATAAGGGGGACATATGTGAATGCATATATGTAAATGTGCATACTTAGTGCTGTCTTTACCATGATGTTAACAGAGCATGCTCTGTCCAGGCAGAGGTGACAGATGAGTCATAGCTGCCCAAAGGCCTAAAAGTCACAGTGCTAATGTAGCTTCGTTTCCCCTCAGCTCCTTGGGCTACACTTTCCTCAACTTCTGACCCAAACATAAAACAGAGACCAGATACACATATTTAGGAAGCACCTGGAAGAAGTTCAAAATTGACACATAAAAGTAAATTGCCAAATAGTGCCTTTATGGTCTGCCATTAGGAATGACACTTTCCCCCAAATATATGGTAACTCTTGAACAAAGTATATGATTTCAGGAAATCTTGTTCTAGCCTTTTCTGGAGAGAGGATGATGCATCCATGAGCTGAGTACAAACTAGAATTACACTCAAATTTTAAAGACAAGGTTTCCTGGTATCCTTGCTGTCACTACAGTTTCCTACTTTTCCATAGCTCTTGAGGAGATGGGTCCTCAGAGATGTTCAGCTTCTCCCCATTCAATGTCTGTGGCATTCCTGGATAGCCAGGGTTCTGTTTAATTAATCTGTGTGCAAAGACTTGAGGTACAAAGCTGAATAAGCCACTTCTGAAGTTCCGAAAGTCTGATTTCTCTGGGAGGTATCAAGAAGATTTTGACATTGATCTCACTCTTCTTCCCACTCCATAACATGCGAATATAATCTAGTCCTTTCTTGTTCCCTCCTCTAGGAGTTGTCAACAACCTGTACTGAGATTCCACACCAAAGAAAGGAAGGGTGGTCCTGTGCTTATGGGAAGCCAGGTAGTAGGGCAGGTATGCATGGAGGGCCTCACACAGCTGCCCTGAGGTAGAACTGTCTGCCAAAGGCCAGAGGCCTGAAGAGTCTCTCCCCACAAGCTACCTCTGGATGGCTCAGTTCTCCTTTTTTTGTTTAATTCAAATGATGAGTTCTTCCTCTCAGGTAATTTTATTTCATTCAATGTTAAATGTCATAGTTTAATTCTTCTATCATCTGCCTATCTTTGCTTAATTTTTGCTTAAACTTTCTTAGTTCTACATTAATTGCAATGAATGCTTTAAAACCCTTACATCATTATCGACTGAATTCTCTATTTTCTTTATAAACATCTTTACCCAAGATCTGACCTTGTTCCTCCCTTGCCACTTTCCTAAGTGTCCCTCCCTGTGCTGTTCCCTGTTTGTTTACACTGACTCAACATTTTTCAGGGACCTTGGTTCCCAAGGTCTCATCCTCTATCTGATTGGAACAGACTAGACTTTACCTCTGTCCTAAAGGCAAGTATTCCTGGCAATTTCTACCTCACTGGCTTCCTCGGCAATCTCCTTAGACAAACAGCATTTGTAGTACAACTCCAAGGACTGGTTCATCCTGAGAAGAGGAGGGGAGCCACAACCTCACCCTACCTCCTCAGCTGCTTACTCAGCCATGGCTGTTTCCCATCAATGCATACTTGCTGGGTGTCTACTGCATTCATGGTTCTGTACCAAAACCAGATGATTGACAGCTCCTGACCTCTGAGGGCTTATTTATGGTTAAATGAGAGAACTGAAGTAAAGAAAACACGTAGAGTTTATTTTGAAGGTACTGACAAGTATCAGTGCAATGTTTAATACTTGGTCATTTAGTCTCACCATATAATCAAGCATCTGTCACTCGCCTGTATCTGTAAATAAATGTGAAAGTTCAGACCATTTATAATACCAGTGCCAGGGCAGCAAGTGAGGAAGAAACAAGGGAACCTGTTCATGTATAATCCTCTCTCCTGGGAAGGGGTGTCCATCCCAAGAATTGCTCTGCAGGATTTTTGCTCCAGTTCCCTGTGGAGAAGGAGCTGAGCTGGCTCAAGCCATTGAGAACTGTGGAGCCAAGAAATAAGCACAACAAGGGTGAGCCTACCAAACCCGCCAGCTGGCTGCACCAAGTGCTCTGGGTCTAGCAGCTGCTGGGAGACAGGCAAAAAGGCAGAGGGGCAGCAAGGTGCGGCAGCTCAGCTGAAGGAGGAAGTCAAGTCGGGTCAGGCTTGATCTCACCCTGTTTGTGCTTCCTGCCACCCACAGAGGCACGTGGCACTGTGTGCTTGCCTCTGGCCACCCTTGAAGACTCTGCCAGGCTGTGTGCTTTGTCTCCCATGGCTCTTCTCTGTGCTGCCATCTCAGCAAAGTACATTCCAGAGCTGCAATCTGACTCACAGGAAAGTTCTAGTGTGATCACAGTGCTGCTCCAGATTGCAGCTGCAGGAATAGGGTGGGGGTGGGGTGTGGTGGGAAGAGTCAGGGAGACTGTTCCAGGTCTCCAGCCTCTTTCAGGAACAAGTTTCCAGAGAAAGGAGGTCAGAAACAGGGAGGAAAAAATTCCATGCCTTTTATATAGGGCCACCTTGAAATCCTTCTTGATCTTGATGGAGGACAGGTGCTGGAAAATCACCATGGCCAGGTTAAGATGCAAACTTAGAATGGTGGTTACACATATCATGACTGGATATGAATCTGGAAAATTACTCTTGCTACTTTCATTCTATTATCAAAACTTCATGGTTCTCTGTACTCATATCCCCAGGCTGTTGCCATTCCATTTCATTTTTTCCTTCAAGTCTATCACTGGTTTAATATACAGAAAAAAATGAACACGGAAACTTTCACTGCAGTTTTCATATTATCTGTAAGTTCACCAAGAAAGTTATTTAATCTGTGTAGCTATAAATGAGAACATGGGTCCAATGATACAGGCTGGTGTTTATCAAGTGTTTAAAAGAGCATGAACATACTACTTTCATATTATTTATGCTCTAACTCTACTCTGAAACTTTTACTGTTTCAGTCAGATAGCTATAATGCGACACTAGATCATTAAAATGATAAAAACTAAAAGAAACAAAGGGTGGAGAAATGAATCCATTTTCTGCCACCTACAAGGGAAGAAATGCTATGCAAAGACAGTGCATCTTTAACACAGTGCAAACTGTAACAAATGCCAAAAGTAAGATATACTTCTAAATAAAATATAAAGACTACTACTACTAAACACAATCTTTAATCAAAAGGAGGGTCCAACCTACATTGTTGAACCATACAACACACAAATTAACTCAAAATGGATCACACACCAAAATATAAGGTAAAAAAACCATAAAATTCTTAGAAGAGAACATAGAAGTATCTTAGCATAACTTTGGATTCACCAATGGTTTCTTAGATATGACACTGAAAACACAAGCAACAATAATAACAAAATGATAAACTGGACATCATTAAAATTATAAATCTTTGTGTCTCAAACGACTGTATCAAAAAAGTGAAAAACTCCACAGAATGGGAAAAAATATTTGCAAATGATAAAGGACTTATACAGAGAACTCTTACAAATCAACAACAACAACAAAATAACCCAACTATAAAAATAGGCAAAGGACTTGAAAGACATTTCTTTAAATAACATATACAAATGGCCAATGGCCTATGAAAAGATGCTCAACATTGCTAGTCAAGAGTAAATGCAAATCAAAGCCACAATGAGATACCTACTTCAAACCAATGTGGATGGCTACAATAAAAAAAGACAACAATAACAAATTTTTGAGTGGATGTGGAGAAATTGAAACCCTGGTATATTCTACATTGTTGATGGGAATGTAAAATCGTGTAGCCACTTTGGAAAACAGTGTGACAGTCCCTCAGAAAATCAAACATAGAGTTACCTTATGACTCAGCAATTCCAAGGGTAGGTATATACTCAAGAGAACTGAAAACACATCCACACAAAAAACCTGAATGCAGATATTCACAGTAGCACTATTCATATTAATCATAAAGTGGAAACAATTCAGGTGTGCATCAACTCAAATGAGAAATAAAATATGGTATGTCCACATACAATGGATTACTATTCATCCATAAAAAGGAATGAAGAACTGAAACATGTCACAACATGGACATATCTTTAAAATATTGTGCTAAGTAGAAGAAGCCAGTCACAAAAGACTATAGGTTTATAATTCTATTTATATGAAGTATCCAGAATAAGTAAATCTGTAGAGATGAAAAGTAGATGAGTGGTTGCCAGGGGCTGGGAAGAATGGGGTGTTGGCAGGCAACTGGTATGGGGTTTATTTTTGAGGTTGCAGAAAGTTCTAACATACTACAGTTATGATTACACAAGTCTGTAAATATAATAAACACAATTGAATTATACATTTTAAATAAATGAATTTTATGGTATGTGAATCATGTATCAATAAAGCTCTTTAAAAATGTGATAGAGATAAGATAAGACTTCTTCAGGTCCCCATCAGTCAGGTTCCAATTTTTAGACTTCTCTGTGTACACATGACAGAATCATAAACATTAGACTGTAATTCCACGGGTTCTGATATGTCCTTATTCTTACAGTAAGTTGGCATGTGGACAGAAAGAATGGCAAAGAATATAAAGGGCCTGGATGTCAATTAGTAGAATAAGCAGTAGTAAGACTAATACTGCTAGAATTAGCCTTTTTGTGTGGGAGATATTCTTGACTCTGTCTCCTTTTCTATCTCCTTGTCTATCTTCACAGTGGAGAAAGACTCTTGGGTCAAGCATACTAGATTCGTTTTGAAAAGGTGGTCAGACCTTTTCAAAAGGAATTCAAAATGGTTGACCACCTTTTCAAAAGGAATTTAGTAAGCTTGATTCAAGAGTCTTTTTCCAATGTCCAAACACACACAAAGGCTAACGCCCTTAATCATCACATCCATGCTCTACCAGTGCATTTTCCTCATTTGGCTTTAATATTGAGCCAGGGCTGAGAAGAAACAATGTCAAATGGCCTTGGATATCATAGGGATCACCAATGACTGTTTTAGACAGGAAACAAGCAAAGGTTAAGAAGAGGTGGGCAGCTGAGATTAAAAGGTTTAAGACTCATGGACACAGAACTAATACTTAAGGGATAATTTAAATTTATTGAATAAGCACAGGTAAGAACAAACCTAAGGAATGGACTATGGCATCAATTATGAGGACATGCAAAAAAATAATACACTCCACTTACAGTATCTCTCACATTACAATAAAAAAATACTCAGATCATTAAAAAGGAACAATTCCAATTTTTCTACAACAGGAAGAAGCAAAGAGACTTCAAAAATAAAGAAATAAAGTATGAGTGACAACAACCACCTTATGAAAATGTGACGCTAAGCAGATGGATGAATAAAGTCATTCCACCAACTCTGGCAGCATGTGGTGGTATATAAAAGAGCAGGTTAAATGGTCCCGTGTGACGAGGGAGCTGTCTTCCCTTCAGGCTTTTTAACTGTAGACAGGGATATGCCACTGTTACAGAGAAGGAATGTATGCTACCCTATCTCAAAACAGAAAAAAGGAGACAGAGTCAAAAATATCTCTGCTTAGTGGGAAGAAAAGTCAAGGTTCACAAGCAGAAGAGCTATATTCACCCAGGGGACACAGCAGGTGAGCACACAGCTGGGGAATCAATGTGCCACAGCTGACCGGCTGTTCAAAAGGAATCTAGTAAGCTTGATCCGAGTCTTTCTCCACTGTACTAACACATGCAAACGTGAATGCCCCTAATCATCACATCCACAATCTACTAGTGCATGTTCCTCGTCTGGCTTTAATACTGAACCATTCTCACCATCAGGAGTTTGGGCTCTTTATTTGTTTAATGCTCCTGACAAAGTAAAAAAATTTCCAGCCACAATACCAGCACCATCCAACACTGGCCTTAGCATTAGGGCAGTTTTCTGCAACATGTTTATTACAGAGGAACTTCCCTCATTTAGATAGCAGTGGTCATATTTCACATATAAATTTATACAAATGCTTCTTTTCCAAAGTAAATGGGCATCAACTCATTGTTGATGGGAGTAGCAGAGGTAGAGGTGGGGAATGAGGTGGCCAAAAGCATAGAAATAAAAATCAGCTTCAAGTAAGCTTCCTCAGCAGCCAGACGGCAAACTCGGTACCAACACTGAGTGCTGATTTGTAAT